TCAGACAGATAATACAGAGAAACAATAACGCACACTGACTACTGGCTTCTTTACATGTTGCTCTCCATTGTTTACTTTCCTGATTTCTATCGCACCGGTGACATCATCAAAGCTAACCCAGCGTGATGGTGTCACCTGTAGACCAGCTTTTTTGCTAGTGGGAAGGGAGCTGATTGTTAGCGGGTCGACCCATGTTTGAAGAAGACGGGTTAACCCGCTATTTTCAGTAGCAAAGAGGCTTATGTTAGACAAATGGGCTAATGGCTACCAGAGACAAGGGAGCTATTGAAGAGGCTTTCTGGATCTCCTTTAGAAGCCAGATATAATGAGCAGATCAGAGAACATGTAAACAATAATGTCATTTTAGCATTTTTGAAATATTAGTTACTTTAGAAAGGAAGTTGAAGACATGTTAGCCTCTGGTCCTGCTAGCATTGGTATTAGCATGCGGTCGATTGGTTTTTAGACAGACTACAAACAAACAAAAGCTGAATTATTTCGCTGTTCCTGCCAAACCTGTTCCCAGTGGTTACCTGAAAGGCTTAGCATGTCACGGCTAATCTGCACATGGATTTAGATAAATTCAATTCTATTAAGTTTATTTCTATAGCGCCAATTGACAATACATGCCATCTCAAGGCACTTTCCAGTTCAACCAGATCATCCAGTCAGATTGATTCAAAGTTTTCTATCTAAGGAAAACCAACTGATTGCATCGACTCATTGATTTGAATGCAATCCCTCACACTAACTTTTCCCCCACTAGTTTAGAAATGAAAAGCTCTTTGGATAAGAAGAGCTTCTTCATCTAGAAGACTGCACTCCTTTTTTTTTGTGCTTTTACTTTACTTCCTGGATACTGAGAATATCGGCATCGTTTCAGCTGAACACCAGCCTGTTACTGCGTTCGCTCACTTCTAAAGCATTTCCCAGACTTTGTGTATTAAATATGCTCTAAGTGAAACATGTGGGCAGGTTTGAAAATCTTCATTACTTCAGATGAAGTGTAGAGATTAAGTGTGATTAAAGACTCAAACTTCTTTGTTTTAGTTTGGATAATTCATCCTTAAGGCTGAATCCATGAGCGGGAAATGCTTCTGAATTAGATGAGGTTTTATATAGTGCTGTATTTTCTGTGTTTGTTTGAAGCAAAGAAGAAAGCCACCGTGATTAATGAAAGGATTCTGATGTTTGATCTCAGATGAGGAGTGAATTTGAATCCAAAGCCTTAGCTCGATGTAGATGAAGTTCTCTTCTCGCCGTTTCCTCTCCTCTGATTTTAGATTTTTGATTGTATTTTCTGTCTTGTAGCTGGTATCTGAGCAGCAGTCCAGACCGCCCCTCTTCCCCCCACAGAGGCCTCTGCCCCTCAGTCCAGCCAGAGTGGCCTCCACCGCAGTGAGTCCCACCCGGGCCCCCGGCTCCAAAGCCAAAGGCCTGCTTGTCATGATGCCTCCAGCTTCGGGGCCACAACCAGCGGGGAAACTGTCAGCTGTCCCGCCGCTCCGAGTTCTCAGGTAGGAGAACCTAAAAAAACATAAACAGATTATCTTTCTTCTCTGCTTCTAAACTAAACTGCCTGAAATGTTTAAACTTTTTCACATTTTGTCTCAGTTTAGCCACAACTTACTGTGATTTCAAGTGAAATGTGAGAAATTGATTTTTTTTTTCCTTTGCCTTCTTGAGATAATGACCTAACTATCTCATTATCAAGGTTAAACCATAAATTGTTTTCTTGAGATAACGAGCTGATTAACCTGTATGAGGCTGGCCAACAGCCCTGGATTCCCAGTCCATCCATGCCTGCGGGTCCCGTAGTTGTGTGGTAGCGGTACCGCCTGTGCGCATATAATCAATTTTTTTGTTTCCTTTTTTTCTCTTCACTCATTGTCAGGCGGTGGTGGATGACTGGATTGCATGGAACACAGTAGAAACAAATATAACTGCTTTTTAATGAAAATCTTTAATCTGGACTCATTTTGAGGGTTAATGCATCTTATACCCGTTACAGCCATTAAGGTCTGGTTATCCTCTAACAGCAGTGTGTCGCAGACATTTTTGATTTATGCCCAATATTGAAGCATGGTCTGCGCTATGTTATTCCACGCCACAATGCCAGAGGGCCAATCAGGAACTACAGTGGGGGCAAGTTTGTGCGACAACGGAGGGGTATGAGGGCCAAAAAGAGCGGGGATCCAGGTGGGAAAAGGGTCCCAGCGTTCTCGCGCACCTCGCTCTTCTAGCTGCTCCATTTTCACCAGTCGTTTTCCACAATGGCGGTCAGAAAAACAAAACAAGCCGGCAAGGAACCAAACAGGAAATATGTATAGAGTAGAGAGGATGTAGATTTGACCAATCAGAGGCCTCCTGTCTGCGGCACTGTCTGCGGTCACCTACAATTTTGGTGAGGTGCAGCAGAGTGTCTGCGGAAGGGGCGGGGGCACATTTGCATTCAATGTAACGCAGATGACCTGGTTTCTGGGTATAAATCAGTCTCAACAACGGGGCTGTTCAGAAAATACCAGGCGCTAAAGCCTGTTTTATGCCCAGAAACCAGCTCATCTGCATTAGGTTATCTCAGACTGGAGGCCTCTGATTGGTCAATTCTACATCTACACTACACTATGCGTATTTCCTGTTTGGTACCTAATGGCAGAAGCTCTGGCTGTAGTGCCGGCCATACGCCTGGCACACCTTGGACACTATCCCAGACACCGTGCAGGACGCTAGTCTGTAGCTCTGTGCGACCGTCTGCTGGTTTGCACCCGAAGCCAAAACACACCAGTCTTTGGGGAACACTCACGGGTGAGCTGTGTGTTGTCCGGTGTTGGATGAGGGGTTGCAGATGGCGAACAAGCTCGTCAAACACACTGACACCCACAATCCTAGCTAGTTCGTAATTGTCCCTCTGGCGTTGTGGTGTGGAATAATGTAGCGCTTCAAAATTGGGCATAAATCGGAAATATCTGCGTCATACCTGCGACAAGTTCACTGCGACACACTTTTGTGGGAATAAAAACGTCGTCTCGTTACCTAAAAGTTAAACACAGGATTATTTACAGAACGACACATAGGTTTTTTTGACTTATCCTTATAAATCCTCTCCTGCTGTTTTAAGACAAACCAATCATCTCGTTATCATGAGAAAACAGGTCTCGTTACATTTAGATAATGAGAAAATTAACTCGTTTTCTCGAGAAAACCACCGTGAAAAAGTATCGGAGGGACACGACCACTCTGGGCTTCCATAGTTAGCAGGATTGCTTGATAGTTTGGGAACGTATTTTAATAAAATTTTAACGAGAGGTGTGCTGCACGCCAAGTAGCAATCCATTCAATTTTGGTGATCATTTTGATCATAATCTAGATACCGGAATTCTTTTAAAGATTTTTTTAACATTGTCAGATTGCGATATATGACAGAACAAGCAGTTCCCCCATAAACCACAAGGTGGCAGCACTAACTATCAACAGCTTCAGCGTCAGGNGGTGGTGGATGACTGGATTGCATGAAACACAGTAGAAACAAATATAACTGCTTTTTAATGAAAATCTTTAATCTGGACTCATTTTGAGGGTTAATGCATCTTATACCCGTTACAGCCATTAAGGTCTGGTTATCCTCTAACAGCAGTGTGTCGCAGACATTTTTGATTTATGCCCAATATTGAAGCATGGTCTGCGCTATGTTATTCCACGCCACAATGCCAGAGGGCCAATCAGGAACTACAGTGGGGGCAAGTTTGTGCGACAACGGAGGGGTATGAGGGCCAAAAAGAGCGGGGATCCAGGTGGGAAAAGGGTCCCAGCGTTCTCGCGCACCTCGCTCTTCTAGCTGCTCCATTTTCACCAGTCGTTTTCCACAATGGCGGTCAGAAAAACAAAACAAGCCGGCAAGGAACCAAACAGGAAATATGTATAGAGTAGAGAGGATGTAGATTTGACCAATCAGAGGCCTCCTGTCTGCGGCACTGTCTGCGGTCACCTACAATTTTGGTGAGGTGCAGCAGAGTGTCTGCGGAAGGGGCGGGGGCACATTTGCATTCAATGTAACGCAGATGACCTGGTTTCTGGGTATAAATCAGTCTCAACAACGGGGCTGTTCAGAAAATACCAGGCGCTAAAGCCTGTTTTATGCCCAGAAACCAGCTCATCTGCATTAGGTTATCTCAGACTGGAGGCCTCTGATTGGTCAATTCTACATCTACACTACACTATGCGTATTTCCTGTTTGGTACCTGATGGCAGAAACTCTGGCTGTAGAGCCGTCCACAACGCCTGGCACACCTTGGACACTATCCCAGACACCGTGCAGGACGCTAGTTTATAGCTCTGTGCGACGGTCTGCTGGTTTGCACCCGAAGCCAAAACACACCAGTCTTTGGGGAACACTCACGGGTGAGCTGTGTGTTGTCCGGTGTTGGATGAGGGGTTGCAGATGGCGAACAAGCTCGTCAAACACACTGACACCCACAATCCTAGCTAGTTCGTAATTGTCCCTCTGGCGTTGTGGTGTGGAATAATGTAGCGCTTCAAAATTGGGCATAAATCGGAAATATCTGCGTCATACCTGCGACAAGTTCACTGCGACACACTTTTGTGGGAATAAAAACGTCGTCTCGTTACCTAAAAGTTAAACACAGGATTATTTACAGAACGACACATAGGTTTTTTTGACTTATCCTTATAAATCCTCTCCTGCTGTTTTAAGACAAACCAATCATCTCGTTATCATGAGAAAACAGGTCTCGTTACATTTAGATAATGAGAAAATTAACTCGTTTTCTCGAGAAAACCACCGTGAAAAAGTATCGGAGGGACACGACCACTCTGGGCTTCCATAGTTAGCAGGATTGCTTGATAGTTTGGGAACGTATTTTAATAAAATTTTAACGAGAGGTGTGCTGCACGCCAAGTAGCAATCCATTCAATTTTGGTGATCATTTTGATCATAATCTAGATACCGGAATTCTTTTAAAGATTTTTTTAACATTGTCAGATTGCGATATATGACAGAACAAGCAGTTCCCCCATAAACCACAAGGTGGCAGCACTAACTATCAACAGCTTCAGCGTCAGGCTCAATAAGTCCTGAAGTATTATATTAAAAAACACAACAAAAAGGGGCCATGCTCAACTTTTAGTCTCGATCTGCTGGTGAAAGAAGAAAGCAGAGAGAACGAAGGGGAGAGCAGAACAGACACTAGAGGCTGCAGCCAGGCCGTACCTCAATTGGTTGGTTGGTTTGTTAGTAGGATCAATTGAAAACTGTTGAACAGATATAAATGAATTTTTTAGCAGAGGTGCACCTCAAGCTAAGGAACAATTCAATAAAACTTGGTAATGATCCTGATTGTGTGTGATATAAAAACTGAAACATATGGAAACAAGCAATACGCTTAAGAATAGCCAACACTGACTGATACTGACGTTAATGCAGATATATCGTGAATCTCTATTTAATTTTAATCAACTTTGACAGAGAAGCTGGATTGATCTAAAAAAAATGACTGGGGTGGAAACTACCTATAAATATCCTTCAATAAGTTGGATGTTCGCAGCATCTTTCAGAAGGACTGCGATGAGGCCAAATATGGTATTTACAGAGGTGCAAAGTCGCCGTAGAGAAGAGTGGATTCTCTGATCTGCAGAGGTTCTGGTGATCAAACACCAGTCAGCAGAAGCTGCCCTGAGCTTCCTGGATGCATTTTATCTTCAGTCTGACATGACTTCCTGCACCTTGACACTGATTGTTTAATCGTTTGTCCTCCAGCAGCACGCTCCCTGCCGGACGCTCTTTCATTAAAGAAACAACTCTCTCCTGCTTCGCTGCTAAACGCATCGGTCAGTTTGATGGAGAGGAGCGATGTGAAGGTCTGCCGGCAGGAGGGAAGGTCCCGCGATGGGGAAAAAATAGAGAAACTCTTCAATAAAAGCTCAGTTCTCTTCTGAATCGGAAGGAAATGCTTCCTACTCCGCTTTATTAGCTCACCTGAAGCTGGAAACCTTTAGTCTAACCTGAGGTCAGACGGTGGTGAGGAGAGTAAACAATAAATTCATTTTTTAATTTTTTTTATGATATTGGGTCTGCTATATGTTCAGTTGCCAAGGAGAGGATATGTTTGTCTTTATTTCCTGGAAACATTTAAGTTCTCTGTAATGTGACGATAAGGAGGACTGCCATTTTCCTGACGGAAGAGCTCTGACTGTTGGTTCTAAAGTTCTGCTTTACTTTTATGTAAACATCAGTTCCCTTTACAGTAGTAGCCATTAAAAATTTCCCCTATTTCCTTGGCTGGTCCCCTACAATTCCTTTTTAAATATCAGCCTTTGTATTAAAATATTCTTTCTGTCATGATTTGTGGACGTTAAGATCTAAAGAGAAGCGGCATCTCCTGGTCAGACCCTGTAATTCAGAGAAAGGGTGGAGTCAGCATAAAATATGAGGGGGTCACTGCATTGGCTGGCGTTTGTACGGTGGCCCTGAAGTGCAAACTGCAACTACAAATCTAAAAGC